ACTGCACTGGGCTGACAGACACAGAGAGAGACACTGCACTGGGCTGACAGACACAGAGAGCCTGAGACACTGAACTGGGCTGACAGACACAAGGAGGGTGAAACTCTCCAGGATCTCTAGAAGATAAATTACTTGAAAGGATCATAATGTGTATTTATTTTATTTCCAATGACATTTACATGGGTTGTGGTATGGGCTGCTGTTTTGGGCAATTTTCTATTCAACTCAGGGGCAGAGGGATATTTCTCTGGGTTAAGTGCCTGTTCGGAGGGGAGGATGGGATCCCAGGTCAAGCGATTGCCCTCCCTTGGCCCACCAGGGGGCACTAATCAAGGCTGCGCCCCCAGCAAGCCTGGCATCACCTGTGAGTCTCCACACTCCAGGGCCACAACCACCTCGTGCCCATCTGGATTCACATCACTGCTGGTGACACACGGGGAGCGAGAGAGGTTCACCCACAAACACATGGCCATGTGGAGTCTCTGCGTCTCCAGTATCGCCACCTGCAAGACCCTGCAGCTTCCTCGGACTGTGGCCCAGTCTCAACAGGGTTCAGCACACTGGCAGGGAATCGGGGGGTACCTGACAGGCGTCTCTCTGTAGGAAACCTGGCTGTAAGTGGGGATCCCAAAGGAAGCTTCATCCTCCGACCCTGTTCTTAACCTCTGGCTGCGCCTCGACATCCCTGCGGGAGGGGAGTCAGGGTTAGAGCACCGTTAGAGACAGTGAACACTGGACCAGCTCCTGTATCACCACTATCTGAAATGACAAAGAGCTCGAGGTTAATGTTAAATATTAAAAATGACTGAACAGCACAGGTAAGGTGTCGTTGAACTGCAAAATAATGCATTGGGTGCAATTACCTTTAAACGGAAGACTCGGTGAAGAGAGAGGGGTTACGAGAATTAATACCTTTACCAAGTATAGATTTATCGTAATTGTTGTGTCTGGTATTGTTTAGCTGACAGCAGAATAACTTACATGCAAACCTGTTTTGAATTTAAAGGTGCCTTTAATTAAGTTACGAAGTTTTTACACTAACTGCATACCATTGTGTCAAAAGAGTAATGTATTTCCACGCATATTTATGGATTGGAGATCGGACAAACAAGCATATAAGAAAAAACGGTTAAAGATGAAAGAATTTTTAAGAATGTGGACATATCGCAACATCCCCATTCTACTAGATTTTACGTTTCCCAAATCAAAATGAAACCCTCTGCTGATTTACCTAGCGCGCTCCTTGTCCTGTCTCGGCGAACGAAAGAGCCACAGGATGTTGACATTTATCCGTTAGAGACAGAAGAATCTTCGAACATCGCGAAGTGACGTTTAATGGTTTATGACATCATCGCACATCACAATCTAACCAGCACAACGTGCTCGACCGTCCAATACGACCTCAGTTCGAATTGGCTTTGTATGTAATTAAAAAAGTATATTATTATTAACACTACTAATACTAATATGCAGAACATAACTTAACAGACTAAAGTTCCTGCATTTGCACAAAACTGTATCAGACCGTGATACCACTAAAATATCGTTATTCAGCGTGGATAAAATCAATCAAAACTTCTAATCTGAAAAAAAAAATGTTCTGCTAAATGTAATCTTTATTAAAATATCATTAGCTGAGTGAACATAAATGTAATTGTCCAATCAGAGCTGGTTTACCTACCGGACTGTCCAGGAAAGAAAGCGATCCACAAAATGTAATGAAAACACAGGTTTTATAAGAAAAAACGGTACTGGATATAGTCAAGATAATGCGGGGAAAAAAACAGATAATATCGATGATAATGTTTTGCTCTTTTATGACGTTACCTCTTTCGTCACGATTTATCACAATCTGCATTACAGGGCTATCTGCAGCGATATTTTCCCCGCAACAGAAAATACCCAGGTTAAGGTTGACGACCGGTACTTCTGATGTGAAAACTTAATAATGCATTTCAATACGTGGTCAGTGTATTTTAATTTCAAGTGGAGGCCCAATTACTATTAAAAAATAACTCTCCACTGTATTTTCGGAAATTATTTTAAGGGACTTTCTTTGCTCTAGAAATAAAATGAAACCTATTGTAGTGTGTTGCCGGATTTCCTTATATCAATGTACAGTATATATATGTGATTCCGGTTATTAAAAGAGTTGTCATTACTCAGTAATGACTTGCAATATTGGCTATGCTGAAAACTTAAGGACAATGGGACCTAATGCAAAGCCCTTAAGTTCTTAAATTTCCACACATTCCGCGGTTAGGATTTCAGCGTTTAGGGATTTTGTAGATTACATAGGACCCGACGATTTTTAGTGTTTTACAGCACGTTCAAATACAGTACTGTATACCCAAAGTCCTACATTTGGTTAGTTTGTCATTTTACTAAATTAATGTATAAAACAAGAGTTTAATCCTGCTTTGAACTGTATCTAGTATTGAACTAATTTTATACGGGAACAATTAAAAAAATACGAAGAGTAAAACCAGGTAAAATTCTTAAAGACGTGATTAAATATGGACTGAAGGGTACAGTCTTCTTCTTCATGGGAAATTGGACTTTGTGAATGTCTTTAATTCTGTTGGTTTTTCGGTTTTGTTAAACTGTAACGCGTATAGCAGAACTATGGAATCCCATTGATTGTTAATTCGTCAATATGTACCTCAATAATGTTCATAAAACTAGAAGCAGTTTTGGTTGGGGTGTAAGGACTGATCAAAATGGGGATGAGATTTGGGGATTCCTAAATATAAAATATATTCAAAGAAAGACAACATTTTTCGAAATCACAACGGTTGAAAAAAGAAATTAGTCGCTTTAGTCTTCTCATAACAATTTCTGAAAACACTGGAAGATGGCAGTACTGCACCGCGCGCGTTTTAGTGCAGCTTTAAATGACAACCTTATTATTAATTCAAAGCTTCTTCTGAACTCTCTGAAACGACGAGGATGGTTAATCTGTGCGATTTTTGTATTTGCATATATACAAAACTGAACAATGGCTATTTTGTTTCTTAAACGTCTTGTTTTGCGTTATAGTAGATTTTGTGCCTTTGTCAAAAATTGTATTCATATCGTAGACAATATATCAGTAGTCTGCATCATTGTATGGTTGATCAGAATGGATTTACATGGGTGTCTCCCAGCCTGAGGTGTGCTCTGGTGCTCCTGTTTTCTCCCATAGTCCAAAAACATGGTTAATTGGCTTCTGGGAAAACTGGCCTTGTTGCGAGAGTGTGTGGTTGTGTCTGTGTATCTGCCCTGTAATGGACTGGCATCCTGTCCTGGCTGTACCCTGCCTTGTGCCTGTTTTTTGCCGACTCCAGCTCTCCCGTAACCTGGAATTAGAAGACGCAGTTAGAAAATAGATGGAGTTAGTTAAAGCAGAGTTACTTTAAAAAAGTTATCCATTACAGTTTTAAGTTACATGGGTAAGAGAATGTAAGTGATGACATTAAAATTAGGATCAGTAATTTTAATGTCATCACTTACCCTGATCCATATAGTGTGTGTATACTTACTATGCAAAGTAAGACATTACCTGTTCAAAGCAATTTCCCCCAATTTCAGTTGAATTTTCAGAAAGTAATCCCTTACATAAATAACTTGTGATGGATTACCATTTAAAGGTAACTTTCTCTAACACTACTCATAAGAGCAGAGGGTATCTCAGATTACTGTACCGTTCACCCCTGGGACTGGACTGTGAAACACAGCTCTCTGACCCCTCACCTGCTACCTTTTCCAAACGCACTCACCCCCCCCTTCTCTCTCCTCATAAAAAGTGGGGAGGATCCCTTCAAATTCAAATTCACAGGGCTTTATTGGCATGACTGGTTAATCACAGTGTTGCCAAAGTAAATATAATTTACCCATTTACAGACATTAATAGTACAAATATATTATTGGACATTTACATACATTACATAAAACATTACTGTAAGACAGGCTCTGTCTACTCCACTTGCTGGGACAGGGGATCACATACTGCTCTGCATCTCTTTTGATTTCCTTCCCACAGTAAAACTGAAGCTTTTCTGATTTTGGCATCTGCCTTGAGGATTAATAAAGTGTATCATATTGTAAGAGCTGGAATTCTGGGATTCGTTCATTATTTTAGAGGAGAATGTTTGTCTAATCCCAGAATTTTTCTTGCAGTGCAGCAGGAAATTGCAGCTCCAGCTCTACTTCTCCCTGCTGGCAGCAGGAGCACAGCCTGTCCTCTCTGGGCAGCCAGGTCCAGCTGAGTCGCTCAGTTTCCATGGCCAGACTCTGGTCACTGAGCCTGGACTTTGTCAGTGTCTGTTTCTCCTTGCTGTTTCTTACCCTGGTCAGATACTCATCTAATGTGTATTGTGCTTTTAGCATCCTGTGGCTTTCTCTTTCTACTTCATGGAGTGCTACAGTAGCTGCTGCTGCACTCTCTCTCCTGGTTGCTGGTTTCACCCCTTTCCAAGACCAGCACACACACACCTGTTGATCAGAAGAGGCCAATAAACCCTGCTGGGCATGAAACTCTGTTCTCCTGCCTCTCCTTCACTGACACAACTTGGGAATATAGGGGAGGATAATACTATTAATTCCTTACACTTAAATAGCACATTTCAGGACACTCCACTCAAAGTGCTTTACAGATAATGGGGATCTCCACCACCACCAGTGTGCAGCCCCACCTGGATGATGCGATGGCAGTCACCACACACCAGCTCTCAGTGGGGAGGAGAACAGAGTCATGAAGCCAGTTCAAAGATGGGGATTATTAAGAGGCCATGATTGGTAAGGGCCAATGGGAAATTTGGCCAGGACATCAGGGTTACACCCCTACTCTTTTCGAGAAACATCCTGGGATTTTTAATGACCACAGAGAGTCAGGATCTCGGATTTACATCTCATCTGAAGGACAGTGCCTTTTTACAGTATAGTGTCCCCTTCACTATACGGGGGTATTAGGTCCCACACAGACTGCAGGGTGAGCACCCCTTGCTGACCCCACTAACACCTCTTCCTCCAGCAACCTTAGTTTTTCCCAGGAGGTCTCCCATCCAGGTACTGACCAGGCCCAGACCTGCTGAGTTTCAGTGGGCTGCCAGTGGTGAGTGGTGAGGTGAGGGTGAAATGATTGCTGGATCACTGCTTTGTCACTATGCATCCTCAAAGTGATACTGTAATAGCATCTAACTCAGGTGTCTGTCTTCCCCTTCTCAACTCTGTGCTTTTCTTGGTTCTGATTCTGACTTCTAATTTCTGACAGATGGTCTGATTCAGAGTGATTCTGAACTCATTTCAGCATTCTATGATCCCAAGAGATTTTGTCTTGACTTTAAGTCAAGCTCATATTTAAGCACAATGTCAGTAAAAACCTTTGAGGAAATAAGATTGTTTTCCAAGAGAGCAAAATGTCACAGAGTGACTAAAGTGGGTGACAGTTGTCAGGGACTGTACTGACTTGAAGTTTGCATCTGATGGCCAATGGTTTTGATGTCTGTTTTCTCCCTCTTAACAAATCCTTCACATAATGGGGCAGTTGCCAATCAACACAGACTGAGTGTCACTCAATAACCACACAGAAAGGGCTGGCATGGTGACACACTGGACCTGGGGCAGAGCGGGCAGAGCTCCAGGACAATTGGTACTCTGCAGTCAGTTCGTTAATTGACCCCCAGCCGTCAGCTCTGCCTACACCCCATGACTGGACAAGGACACCTTCACCGCTCATAGCGAGTCCTGAGCCCCGGCCAGGGAGATGCTTTTTAAGGCCTCGGTAGGGAGGACTCAGAAGAGGAGAAGAGCAGAATTTGGGGGCACATGGATTACAGTAGTGGACACAGGAGAGGACTCGAATGTCTGAGGGTTGATCTGCAGAGAGCGTTTGGCATCATAGTCCTCCCTCCCTACCTGATACTGGACTTGGACTTGGAGAAAACGGGGTAGGCCTGTTCCAATGTGGGCATAATAGACCACATTGTTTGAATCTGTCGAGACTGATATGGATGTCTGAGATCATCATAAAACTACACCAAGTTTTATGTACACAAAGGAGGCATGTCAGGGTGCTCGAGGAGAATAGCAACGCTGGACTTTTGGGACATTAAGTTTTGCGTAACTGGGGGTCCATGACGATTCATGTGTGTCTGTGAGTGCAAGTGTCTCACTCATGGGAATACTTCTTTTTTTGTTGTCTTTTGGGGAGTAGATAACCAGTAACTGATTGTAGCTGAAGAGCAATAAACATTACTACTACAGTAATGTAGTAATGCTGTCTTCTCTGGTCTGTGGGTGCGCTGGTGGCTCTGGGAGATATGAAGAACTTGGAGGGAAAAATTGTCCTTGTAGCCTTAATGTTGCTAGGAAACATAATCGGCTACAAATTATCCTGCTCTTTGGGTTCACATACCAAGGTTCTATAT